AACCGCCTCCCGGTTAGCTCAATGGATAGAGCGCTGGACTGTTGTGCGGGAGGTCGAGGGTTCGAGCCCCGGCCGGACCAACACTCAAGGTCTTAAAATAATTGAGAAGAATATGCTACCTTTCTATAACATCAAGAAATGGTTAGATATTCTAGTCTTCTCGGATAGGGACGAATAAATGGAGGTCCCGTCTCCTACAGGGTTAGGGGCAGGAGCCGTTAATTTCCCACGCACGAGATTACTGTGTGATGGATGTCCTCCCCTGGGCTGGGATGGGTGGGTTTACTGGGCCCGCAATAATTGGCGCAGAGCTGTTGCGGTGTCCCTGCTGTCGGCAAATCTTGTAAATAAAAATAATCATAAATCAAATCAAAATCTAACATGAACATACCACAAAAAGAACAAATGTATTTTGAAAAGCAACCGCCAGACTGCTAAACTTTTTCTGAATAACATCAAGCAACCCTCTTAAAGGATTGTCCTCTCACTGTATGGTAACATAACTTAACAACCGTGAAACAAGAGGGCTATTAACCTTAACATCATCACTTTCCTTCCATGGATTAAAGATTTCATCAGCATCGTCATCATTATCATCTGGTGCAATGGGATGTACAGCAACAGGCAACATTTGCAGAAACTCATAGAGAAGTAATGGAGTGGGGACATCCTTGTCAAATAGTTGTTGTTTTATAATAAACTCTGTTGAAAAAATAATATTGTTGTAACCCGAGTTAAAAATATTACATTTAGGCACATTACACAATGTCTTTTGAGCACAGTGAAAAGTTAGAAATATGCAGACTTAAAAGAAATATGGTATTATTTTAGGTGCATAACTAAAGGCAAAAATAGGTAACTGGGAATGAAAAAATATTATTTTTAACTTACTCTGTGATGTTGACTCTCTCTCTTGCCAGAAAACCATGGTAAAGGGAACAGCGTACACATCTGATGCAATCACATATCTTGATATTACTAGATAAAGTGATAACAAAACTCAATAATGTTATGATTTGCAGTAAAAAAAAAAACATATCACTACGTCTGCTTAGTTCATCAGCGCATACAAAATGAAAAAAGAAAATTAAGGACAACTGAATCTAAATAAAATTCTTGAGACTTGTATGAATCTACACTTGGTAAAATGTGACCTGTGATTCTCTGTTCTAGTTGCTACACACCTCCTTTTAAATTAGTTAAGAAAAGCTGGTGTCAAACCCCCTTTTGCTGATAAATTCGTTCATTCTTATCTCCTGTTTGCAAGATAATGTTTTGATATCATAAGGAAAAGTTACATATCAATAACTTACGGGTGTTGTTTGGTGAAAGATGTGATTTGTAATTCTTAAACTCATTAATCATTCATCAAGTTACAAACCAATCACGATATGGCAACTTGGCCACATGTGTGCGTTTAGAAACCCCGATGAAACACTGGACAGAGGCTTTTCCACTATACTTTGATGAAATATCAAACCCTAGAGCTTGATAAAATGTCAAACCCCACTGGGGCCAATAAAAATTATTACTGAAAAACAATAGCAATTCCGCGTACGATGCCAAAATCAGTCAGAATTTTTTCCTTGTTCTTGGTTAATGATGCACGATTGAGAAGCAATTTCAAAAACTTGTGCTTCGTGTTTCATCTGGGTTTTGAAACACTCAAAAACAATAAAAGCATGAGGCCGTAGGCCGAGTGCTTTCATCAGTTTTCTCGTGTTTGGAAGCCCAGATGAAACACTCGCACTCGTTTTTGAAATATTACTTGACCCCTTCTAATAAGCAGGGCTGAGGTCTAGCAGTGCCCAGTGGCCCCTGGCACCTTCCTTTTACTCTTGGGTGACTTGAGAATTTTAGTACAAACTTATGCTGGGCACCTTGTATATTTTCAAAGTTTCAGAGCACTGCAGGGCTCCCTTCTGTTTTTCTTAGAGCACAGTGTTGATAAGTTAGGAGAATTTGGTGTTACACCAGGATAAGACCCTTTCCCTGATAAATTGGCTTTTATTTTCACCTGTTTAAGGGATTATGTTTTGATATTACAAGGAGAAGTTACAGATTCTGTCTCTTAAGGATGTTGGTTAGCTTCAGGTTCCACATCATCTTGTTTAGCACTGCAAGGATTACCTTTTTGACAGTATTTTTTAGAATTTCTTCATCTTTAACCATTTGTCATGTACATTAATTACCTTCTGGGTGACTCATGATGTTAAGCAATGCAAATCGCACAGTGAGTTTCATTCTTGTGAATGTATCATATGAACGATGAAAAGCATCCAAGTAATTAAGGGTCCGTGGGTTCCTTGGTGAATAAAAACACACCACAATGGGAAGTCGTGGATGTTTTGTTTCCAACACTTCATCAAAGAAATTGTCCTATCAAAGCAAAACCATGACGAAGATTATATAACAGCATAAGTTAGTCTGTGGTTCCACTGTACTATTTGCAAGCTTGAAGAACCTAGCTGACAGAAGAGTTTATTCCACTGTACTATTTGCAAGCTTGAAGAACCTGATAGAGGAGTTTATTTCCTAATCATTAGTCTAAAAACTTATCGCAAGAGCAACAATGTGTGAGGAGATTGTTTTGACTTGTAGACTATATGGGGATCCTCAAGGGAGAGGGGGGAGGCTAAGGAGAGGCTTGTTACCAACAGAAGAGGGGAGAGGGCGTTTTATTTCAAGCCATTCCTCTCTATCTTCCAGCCCCTGCTCCCAGAGAGATTTAAATACTCATGCAAACTCTTTGATCTCATATTCGGCCAAGAGGGTTAAAGAAGTGTGTAAGTAAACATTGACCACTTGCCTTATCTTGCAACAAACCTCTTGTTGTTTAATACTCAAGTTTGTAGCTGAGCATTATACATGTTATAGTGTATAGAAAAAAAATTTCTTTAAATAAAAAAAAATTTCAAACTGACCAGATTCAGTTGGTAAGCTTGACTGTGTAGGGCAACCAGCAGAACTTGAAGTCTTCTCTCCTCTATTTCAAGAACACTTTGCAAAACAAATAAAGGCTTTTCTTTTTCTTTCCACTCTAAAGGAAACATTAAAATAAAATAATCATAATGAGGTCTTATTTTTCTTTAACACTTTAAACCCTAAGGACAGGGTTTAAACCCTTTTTCAAAAAACAAATTTCGAGGAATTTTCCAGGACTTTTCCAGGCTCAGACTGATTGTTCCAGGACTCTAAATTTTACCTTAAACCCTTTTATTCCCAAGATTTCAAAATCAATTCTCTTCCATCCATGCATAAACATTTCTTATAAATGTAAATTCTGAAAACTTAATTGTTAGATTTAAGCAAATTTCCAGGACTATCCAGACCCTGAAGTTGTTTTCCAGGACTTTCCAGTCCTGGAAAATGTCAAAATAAAATTCCAGGACTTTTCAGGTTTTCCAGGACCCATACAAACCCTGTAAGTTAGAGTGACCAGCATCTAATTTCTCTTTTCAGTATCAT